ATTTTGTGGAATATCTTGAGAACTAAGCGACATATCAAAAAAATTAAAAACAAGAAAAGTTAGTAAAAAGACGGAAGGTATGAGAAAAAAATACAAATTTATGCAGTGGCGTGCGACAAAAAAGTTCGACAAGGTTCCGTGCAGTTGACACTCACAAAAACAACTCCCTGTATAGCAATTAATCCAATTTTTTTCACACATATCAGCCACGTTGCCCTTAGTATTTAATCAAACACTTGCGTAGTTAGATCCTCTGGCTTACGAGTAATAAAATAAAAACGGAAAAATAATTCAAATTTTAGAGCCATTTTACTCCAAGCGGAAGCGTTTTTGGAGTATGGCTTATAATACAAACTATCATTATTTCGGTTAGTTCTATCGATACCTGCAGTTATTCTAGTAAAATCTGAATCACCCTGTATATTTCCTTTGGCCACACGCCCGCTTTATCCGACCCCTGAGAGCGACCCGAATAGTACAGCGTAATAGACTCTTAATTTCTAATAAAAGACAACACTGCTATCATATCCAAACCTATTATGAACAATCTGACAAACTCAAGCTGTTACTTTTTTGAAATAATTCTTATTAAATCATCTCTATTATTTTTCTTTCTATAAAAGTTGTTACCGAGAATATTTAATCAGCTCCAAGTCACCAACTAATTGAAATAGACGAATTCTTTTTGTCGGAATTATTTTATTAACGCGACTCTGCAACGACTAAAATAATACGTCAGGCAGACGTTTCTGCGGTCATCTTTTCCCTTATTTTTTCCTCTCTTTCGGTATTTCTTTTTTAGGAAAGCTAAGTCTGGAAACGTTAAATTACAGGGGAAAAAAGCTGGAGAATGATAGAAGACGACAGGAAAAACGTAATTCGATGAGCGTTTTTAAGAAAGTTAAAATAAAATGACGTCAATTCAATTAAAAGTTTTTTATCTGTATTTTATTTAGCAATGAGGAGATTTTTTTCTGGGGACATTAAAAGACTTTTAATTTGCTCGACGAGAAATTATATCTAAATAAAAAAGGACTGGTTAATTGATGTTTGGGCATGTCTGGGGGTCTATTTTTAGATATTTAAAAGACGAAAAAGGTTTTTGATTATGTGATAAATATAAAATAAAAAATACTAGTTATTGTTTCCCGTGACGTCGCGCGTCGTCCGCATAAAATTATTCGAGTTTTATAAAATGTAATATTTATAGCACCTATTGGCTATATTTGAAAGTACCGATTACATGTGTCTACTACTGCGCATCAAGAACGGTTCTCTGCTTTATTGGAACCTGATATTTTATTTTATAAAAAATATTTTTGTTATTTTCATAAAACTAATAGAATGGAGTCCAATAACATTATCTTTTCCCGTTCATTTCTTTTTAATGTTTACATTTCACAAAAAAATAATGATTCTCTATGAAAATTCATTCACATTTCGAACATTTCGACTATTGTCGACAAATCGGAAGAATTGGCCTCGTCCAAATAATGGCCGCCATAACATTATCGTGCAGGATGCAGGAGAAAAGAGAAAATAGAGTCAATTATTTGCCCCAGGGCGCTGCATGCCAACGGAGCGACATTGTCGTAAGTGCTGTTGAATTTTATCAGATATCGGGGTCAAGAGGAAATAGAACATAAAGGATATTTAGAAATAATGAGGTGAAAATATGTTATATGGTAAAATAGCTACTATTATCATGAATGAAAACTTTAAACCGTTTTTGATTTTTATATTTTAGAAAGAACTATAGAGATAAACATCTGAAACTAGAGGTGGGAATTCTAGTTCTTTGGGAGGAACTAGTTCTTTAGTTCTAGTTCCTCCAGCAGAATACTTCCTTGAACTAGGTCTTTAGTTCACAATAGTTCCCGACTAACATAGACATCCCCATTGCTTGCTAATGGATTTCGTTGTCAGTCAGAACTATTCACAGTATGATCTGTATAATTTTTGTAGTGTACGAAATATAACGATACGTGTAATTGCGTGTGTTAAAAACATATACAGGGTGAGTTTCGTACGATGTTCTCTATGGGTATCTCGGAAACTACTGGAGATAGAGAGTCGGTTAAATGGGGAAAGAATTGCAGTTTTGCGGGGTGATAAACATGCGCCTTTCAGATTTTTGAAAAAGTTCATGGCTTACTAGATATTTTGAAAAATACAAATTTCGGCTATTTTAAAAATAGTCCCTACTTCCATTATAATCTATTTTAGACAAAAAGTTTTCAGATAAAATTTGTAGACAATCACATTCTTAATGACATGGTGTCCTCCGTTTTTTTCTAAAGCCTGTCATTTTTGACATATGACACAAACATATGTTTTTTTAAATGGAAACCATAGTTGGCCATGACTTCTTAAAAAGCTCCATTTTTTAAGCTTTTTAGCGATATAAGCTATAATATGTTTTCTTTCGAAAAATTACAGAGTTATAGCCAATTCTTATAATTTTTAAATAATTTCCTTAGTTAGCCATGGAAACAAGTTCAATTGTCGTTGCTCTCAGAGATGTGAAACTGTCACACCCAAATTTTATAAATTAAAATAAACAAAAATTGTAAATATGAATTTTTCAAGTGAAGAAAAGTGCGTAGTATTATTGGTTTAACTTTTCTTGGCCATACATTTTCGAGGATACGTTGACCGGTGAACGTTACTTATACGTTTTTTAGAAAAGTTAAATTTAGATACTTGCGCATCAATAGAGTGGTTCTAACATGACTATCATTATGACACTCCCCCTCATAATGAAAGAAACGTTAAAAATTATTTATATCATAATTTTGCAAACTCAGGAATAGGAAGAGGTGGATCAATTGCATGAGCCTCTTCCATCACCTGACCTATCCATTTTAGATTTCTTTAGGCGGTATGGTTAACAGTAAGGGTTACAAAAGAACTTATGAATTAAGAGAGGCACTCGAAGAGGCGGAAAATTGCTTTTTCCTCGCTTCAAGCTTTTTGTTTTTGTCTAAAAATTCAGAATATCTACTTCGTTTTATAAGATATTTCTTAATTGTAGGGACCTAAAGTGAAACATTCCCATAAAATATTCAAAGAACAAATTAAAAATCAAAAACAGTATCCACGACAATTTTCTGTGGTAATTACACCGGTTGTGGCAATAAACAAGGCCGAATCCGTCGTCATCGCTTGTATTATATCTCGGATCTGCCGACTGAATAGATTCCCGTGAACTAGACTTTTAATTAGTTCCTCTCAGGTATACACAGTTTGCACAAAAAAATACATACAGAGAGAGAGAAAAAAAATAAAAACCGATTTTTTCACCACTTAGCTGATAAATTAAAATCTACTTTAAATCAATAAATCTCTAAAACTTCTGAACGACAGTACATGATATCTTATATCATTAAAAAGGGAATTGAAAGACCTTTCACATGATCACTCGGGCCCCTTTCCATTTAAGAATTTAGGGATGGCGCCGCCCCCGCCTTGGGTGTTGTAGGTGTGTAAGTGATTTTATGATATTTTTCCCCCTCCAAATTTTAATTTTAAACGAGAAAAATTTGGGGTGGAAAGTTTCCATTGGCGCACTCTCTATAAAACTTTTTATCAGTCTATCCTGTTTTATTTACTGACGTATACTTTAGCGAAACTATTAAAATATATTTTCCAAAAAATAAACTATTTTTTATTTTTACGTGGAAAGTTTCCTTAATAGGCAATAAATTAACATAGAAATTCCTATTGCCTAACTTCGTGTTTAACAAAAAGCACAAAAATGATATATTATCGTTTACAAACTTCGAAAAACTTCACCAAATACTTTTACAGTATATTTTACGAAGTACGGTATTTGCAGGTATGGTAGCAAATTAAATTGAAAGGTCCGATAAAATAGGATAGTAAACATATTTTACGTTTGATATTACTGAACTTCTTTTATAGGTACTGTTCATTTTTTTATTATTTCGGATTTTATTTACAAAAAATCAAAAAATTAGTTAAAAAATTAAAAATATATATATTTTTTCCATTGCAACTGTTAAAATTGCCTTATATCTATCAAAAATAGTATATAAAATAGTACTGTAACCGCAAAGTTTAGATTGGAAAGTGCCCAGAAGGACAATGTAAACACTATTTGGTGCTATTCTTGCAACGGTCGCGACCCAAAACTTTTGAAAATTTCGGAGCGGTTCGGCTTTTTCCGGAATTATATCGCCAAATATTGTTTATTCAAATTTATTATTATCTTCGTTTAATTTTATAAATAAAATACAGTGTGTTGCATACAAGAAACTTTATTTTATATAAGGACGCATGTATGAAATACCTATGAAACATTGGAAACCGACGTTATGCCACGATCCACGATGGTTTTTGCAGTTCACAGTTCACAGCACAGCTTTTTAAGTTTTTAATGCCACTTTTTCACAATTATCACCGGTTGGAGTAAATAAAACATGAATTAAACTCACAAGATAGCAATAATTACTTTGAAAATGGATGCTATAAACACTTTTCGAAATTTCTTTAATGAGAGCGGTTTAGATTTTGAAAGATTATTATGATTTTTGAAGATTCTGACTTTGACAAGAGAAAATTATTTCTGTTTTTGTTTGCCGTTGTTCTTAGCAACCGCTATAGCAGCGCCAGATCGCGTATAACGGTCGCGACCCAAAATAATTTCGCGACCCAAAATTTTTACGGGCTTTCCAATCTAAACTTGTTGCATTTATCTATGGGAGACAGCTTTATTTATTTATCAAATTACATAGAAACGAACGCCAAACCAGCACAATATTTTTTTTACTCGTAATAAATTCCTTGAAATAATAATTCCTGAATACTTTTCAAAACGTAACTCGCTATGGAAAAAAAATATTGTTTTATACACGACGATAAAATTGCATTATCGTCTCGGTCGACGATAAAATACCATTTTATCGTCTTGTATAAAAAATAACTATTTTATGATTGGAATTTATCTATAAAAATGAATGAAGAACGCTGAAACTTACCAGTTTTAACGAGTTTGAACGTGACGGCATTATGTGACTTGAGGTGTTCGTTGTACGAGGGATGGATGAGATCTTTGAGGGCGGACTCGCCCGCGGCCATTTTCGGGAGTTGCACTCCTCCCGGAGGACCCTCACAACCGTTCCCTGCGGCGTGCAAGCCCTTTGGCCCTAGACACTTCTAGTTTCCTGTCTGCAATAAGAAAGAAAAACATTGTGTTAAATTAATTATTAGGCCGTTTGAGTTCGGAGATTCAGTCGTATATTGTAGCAAATTTAATAGCATTTCTCTTCTTCTGGTTTGTATGTATTTATAATATAAGGAATCTTAACTTCTCACACCGATTTGATCAAATGTAAAATTATTAGGAGAGGATAAATTATAATTTGCAATATTAATGGTATACTTGTTTTAATCAACTAGGGCTTACATTTTTTATGAACATCTTCTAAAATTATAATTATGTACCTTTAAAACAATTCGTTATAACCGAAATAGGCCCAGTTATATTGTGTGCGTAAAACTATGCTAGAGCTATCGGAGTTGAACTCATCGCGAGATAGCGGCCCGCGATGTGGGACTTAATATCTTACCGCTACTTTACGACAAGTCGTGTTTATATACTCTGCGCTGTGCTCGACATATTGTGGAAATACCCAGGCTCACCTGATGATGGGGTAGGGCCCCGAAACCGGTAGTGAAAGCAGGTTGATCCACATTATGTCGAACACAGCGTGGAATTAATTTCTATATTAGCAGTTCAAGGCAAGAAACGCTTATATAATTTTATTATATACCTAAAAACTGCAAGAAATTTATTTTCCAATATATATATATATATATATATATATATATATATATATATATATATATATATATATATATATATATATATATATTATATATATATATATATATATATATATATATATATATATATATATATATATATATATATATATATATATATATATATATATATATCGAGTGAACAGCCCCTGGTCAGCCCACCTGATGAAGGGTAGGCCCAGAAACCGGTTGTGGGAGTGGAGCTTGGTTCCCCCTTTACGACAGGCAAAACAATTTTCTTTTTTTTTTTATTTATTTTTTTAATTTTCTCTACTTTCGATTTTTCGAAATTAGAAAAAAAGTACATTTACAGGCAAGAAAATATTATTTATATATATATATATATATATATATATATATATATATATATATATATATATATATATATATATATATATATATATATATATATATATATATATATATATATATATATATATATATATATAAATAAATAATATTTTCTTTTGCCTGTAGCTGTGTATTTTTCTAATTTCGAAAATCGAAAGTAGAGAAAATTAAAAAAAAAATAAAAAGTAAAAAGAAGATTGTTTTGCCTGTCGTAAAGGGGGGAACCAAGCTCCACTCCCACAACCGGTTTCTGGGCCTACCCTTCATCAGGTGGGCTGTCCAGGGGCTGGTTCTCACCGATACGGCAGGCAAAACTTCTTCTATATCTACAGACGATGTCGTAAAGTGTCGGTGAGATATTAGTGCATCTCCCGTCAAAAGATGGTAAAGAGCGTTTTTCGGCCCGCTCAAATATATGAAATGAACAAAATTCTTACAGCTTTAGTGTATATTAATAAATAATATTTTCTTGCCTTTAGCTGTGTATTTTTTCTAATTTCGAACCAGTCCCTGGTCAGCCCACCTGGTGAAGGGTAGGCCCAGAAACCGGTTGTGGGAGTGGAGCTTGGTTCCCCCCTTTACGACAGGCAAAACAATTTTCTTTTTACTTTTTATTTATTTTTTTTTAATTTTCTCTACTTTCGATTTTTCGAAATTAGAAAAAATACACAGCTAAAGGCAAGAAAATATTATTTATTAATATACACTAAAGCTGTAAGAATTTTGTTCATTTCATATATATATATATATATATATATATATATATATATATATATATATATGCCGGTTGTTTACGATATTCTGCGTTAGGGGCAGCACCGGCGAAGAATGTACCAAGCCCTATATTAAGTGTAATATCAGTAATTCATTTTTAATAACCAAGAACTTCATATTTGAGATATGTTGACAATGACAATTTTTTTTATCAAACCGGCTTTTTCTTGATTGCCTTTTTAAGCTCGATGTATTAATACCTAAGATGAAAGGGAAGAAAAATTACAAAAGGTTGCAAAAAATGTAATAAAGCGATCAATTTTTAATATAAAGCGACTTAAAGCAATTTCATATGGTACAGGGTGAGTAAACGATAGTATAAAGTCCACTATTTTATCACTTTTGAGAATTATTGAAATATTTTAAATAGAAATATTTAATATTGTAGGTTAAGAAGCACATTTTAAAATTATTATAGTGTATACAGGGTGTCTCAAAAAATATGGCGGATATTTTATTTTTAGATTCTGCGTAAAATTTTATAACTGTTTTATATGAAATGTTGTATACCTACAATTAATAGTTTTTGTAATATTTCATTTATTTAAACAAATGTTACATTTTAGTGTCATAAAAGTTGTCAGTGCTATTGTTTCTTAAGATGAAGTACTAAAACTTGATAGGAGAGGTTTATAGAGATGAAAAATGTAAAGATATTTGAGTTTTGACTATTTAACACTAAAAAATCTAAAAAAAATTAAATAGCACATTCTATACAGGGTGAGTCTTAAATAAGTGTAAATATTTCCAGGGCTGATAGAACATGACAAAAGAAGCACATTTTCTGTTTACCGTTTCTCAAATAAATCCAAAATAACCGAGTTATTTTATTTTGGAAATTTCCAAAAAAGTGGTTTGCTTAAATTTTGAGAAGCACTGGATGTTTTCTGTTTTTTTTTTGTAAATTTAATCTACTACTTATTTTGCCATATTATCAAGAAATTTTATTTTTAAACCAAAAACTAAAATCCAAAAAATTCCAAATTTGTTAATTCTTTTTTTCGCGAAAAACACTTCATAATTGTGTTTATGGGGTAATATACTACCCCTAAAACTATTTACACTTATTTAAAACTCTCCCTATATACATATATTATTAATATTATTTATTCTATATAACACATTTTTCAATTTTTTTTTACTATTTTAAGGGATATTTAGATAACTGCAGCAAAAAGAAAACAAGATCGACTACAGCGATATATAAAAGTCTAAAACGGTTGTGTTGCAATTTATTCAAAACTCCACGGCCGTTAAGTAAACGAGACAGCAATTTCCTGCATTCCGATCAGGCTGATATATATTATAATAAATTTGTCAGAGGTTCCTAAAAAAAAAACAACAAACTAGTTTTCTTTGAAAGTTCAGAGACTTCAAAAGAAGCTTTAAATAAACACGGTATCCTCAATAGGATCCAGATTAAACGGAAAATGCTTTAATGATTACTTTTTTTCTATTAACGATAAATTGGAAATTAAAAGTAAATTAATCGTCTTAAAATATCTAATTATTAAACAGGTTTTTAAAATTTTTAGTTTATACCAACAGGTATGGTAGTTGACAAAATGAGTTATTTGGATCTGTCTGTCTGTCTGTCTGTCTGTCTGTCTGTCTGTCTGTCTGTCTGTCTGTCTGTCTGTCTGTCTGTCTGTCTGTCTGTCTGTCTGTCTGTCTGTCTGTCTGTCTGTCTGTCTGTCTGTCTGTCTGTCTGTCTGTCTGTCTGTCTGTCTGTCTGTCTGTCTGTCTGTCTGTCTGTCTGTCTGTCTGTCTGTCTGTCTGTCTGTCTGTCTGTCTGTCTGTCTGTCTGTCTGTCTGTCTGTCTGTCTGTCTGTCTGTCTGTCTGTCTGTCTGTCTGTCTGTCTGTCTGTCTGTCTGTCTGTCTGTCTGTCTGTCTGTCTGTCTGTCTGTCTGTCTGTCTGTCTGTCTGTCTGTCTGTCTGTCTGTCTGTCTGTCTGTCTGTCTGTCTGTCTGTCTGTCTGTCTGTCTGTCTGTCTGTCTGTCTGTCTGTCTGTCTGTCTGTCTGTCTGTCTGTCTGTCTGTCTGTCTGTCTGTCTGTCTGTCTGTCTGTCTGTCTGTCTGTCTGTCTGTCTGTCTGTCTGTCTCTCTGTCTGTCTGTCTGTCTGTCTGTTCACACACTGTAACACGATAAATCAAAAGCCGCTAAACCGATTGTAACCAAATTTGGCACAAAAATAATGTGGCACCCAAGAATCTGGCCATTAGTTTTTGGTGGGGGTGGGGGGTTGGTAAGGGGGTATGGGAGGGGGTTAAAAATTTTAAAAAATCGTGACTCCAAAATTACAGTAGCTAGCGAAACGCGGTTTTCAATTTAAGATTAGCAACAAAATTTGTAATGCAAATCTGATGCAACAAAATTTGTAATAACATCAAAATCCGTCAAAGTCGCAGTTTTTGAGATAAAAAAAATTGGAAAAATTCCTTTACCTTGAAACTAAAAGAACTGCCTACCAACTTTTTATTAACATATTTTAGTATGGGCAGCTATACGTGCCTCCCGGCGCTAATTTTTTAAATTTAATATCACTTTATCACGCAATGGACTTTTTGTTGTCTAATTAAAAATTTACTTTGTCATTCGCTGGGAAAAAAGGTAAAAAAAAGTATTTAATAAACACTTTGTTCAAGTTTTATTAATAAAAAAATTAAAATGAGTTGTTAGTAAAAAATCACATATTTTTTGTCAAAGACATGTAGGGAATTACAGAAAACGTACAAAATTTAATTATAAAATGAACGCATTTATTTAATCCTATAATAACAGATAATATAATAAAAAATATAACGGTTATGTCAAATTTCGTTTTGACGGGCTATTTTAGTATTTATTATGAAGGACGTCTGTAACGTGGGTGGTTAGGTTACAATAAAAAAAACATTGAATATAAAATATTAGTCATTATTTACCTAGAAATGAAAGTTATCAAAATTATTATAAAAATCAACAAAATAATAGTTCATGCAAACTAATATGAAAAAGTTATTTTATTAATAATAACACTTACCGAATTTTATACCTTAAAGGTTGATTAATTAACTTTAATCTTAATAATTTTTTTAAACCAGTACCTTTTGACATTATTTTTCTGCAGTACTAAAATCCATTATTTACATATCGTGTGATGTCGTTATTTTAGAGCTACTCCAGTTTTTAGTATACCTATGTTTAGTATGATCCTTGTACCATATACGATGCACTT